TGCTTTAGTTCTTCGTTTCTTAATGCTAAGTGTCCTCAGATGTCTTATTTTGCCTGACCAACCATCTACAACCAAATAATACATGTACAATGACTTAAGACAAGTTAAAGTAGTAAATATTCACACCTGAGAACCTGAATGTTTGTTGAATTTGTTGAAAAAGTGACTATTCTATATCAGCTCCACATTAGCTCCTGTCTTATGAACTTTTGGTGTTGTTATGCTCCACTTTAATCCATCTAAAAACATCTGGTTGGTGATGTATTACCTTCTCCGCATTCTTTCATCGTCCCCCTCCAGCTCCTTCTAGGGAAACCCCGGCGTGGTGGTATCCCTTCGCGATGCAAAGATGGCGACCCTGCTCCCTCCCTCAGGCACCGATGCGTTCCGCCCGTTCACCCAGGAGTCACTGGCGGAGATCGAGAGGCTCGCGGAGGAAAGAAAAAAGGCCGCAGAAGTAGAGGGCCACGAGGATGAAGGCCTGGCGGCCCCCAACTCTGATCTGGAGGCGGGCAAGAGTCTGCCCCTGATCTACGGAGACCCTCCATCAGAGCTGATGAACACACCTCTGGAGGACCTGGACCCCTTCTACAAAGCACAGAAAGTCAGTCTGGGCAGAAAAATAAGCCACCGTGCACACTTAGTGTTGTTTAATGAGCTTGACCCTGTTCTTTCATAACCTTAAAATATGAGAGGATGTATTACTTAACGTACATTTCTGTTATTACAACTGCATGCGGTGTCCCTTTACGCAATGTATACGCTTCCATTCGTGGTATGCGTGTGTTACATTTAAACTTTACAGCATTATTCCAAGTTTGTCATCGCTAAGTATTTATTGATTGTTATTTTGGATTGCTTTTATTTATTTTTATTTTTTTCCAGACATTCATCGTGATCAGCAAAGGAAACACAATCTTCAGGTTCAACGCTGAGCCGGCTTGCTACATTCTGAGCCCCTTTAGTTTGGTTAGGAGAGGCGCCATCAAAATTCTCATACATTCATATCCTTTCGGCGACTGTTGCCCGAGTGATTGTTTATTTAGATTTTGGTTATGGCTAATTGATAACTAGCGCAGATATTCTTCGTTGTTTCCTTAATCCTGACTTAAATTATTCAGCATGTTCATCATGATTACGATTCTGTCCAACTGTGTATTCATGACGATGAGCAACCCACCAGCATGGAGTAAAACCGTCGAGTGAGTAGATCATCGTTGTGCTTTGGATTTCCATCATTCTTCAGCTGCAGCTAACGCAAATTTGACTCGTTTGTGTTGCGTTATTTCTGCCTAGGTATGTCTTCACTGGTATTTACACCTTTGAGGCAACAGTCAAAGTGTTGTCTCGAGGTTTCTGTGTTGGATCTTTTACATTCCTTCGAGATCCGTGGAATTGGCTGGATTTCATGGTGATCAGCATGGCGTAAGAGTGTACTTCTATCTAACCTAAATTAAAAATGCAGCCTTTATTGAAGCTATGACAGCATATTTTCATATCTTTCAGTGCTTTTTATTGGACAGTCCTCGTACTATAGTCACTAAACAAACATGCTGGTTTTCATTCATTGCTTTATGTCTTTTCACAGTTACGTCACTGAGTTTGTTGACCTCGGCAACGTGTCCGCTCTCAGGACGTTTCGTGTGCTTCGAGCCCTCAAAACAATTACTGTGATTCCTGGTACTCTTTCTGTTTGTGTGTGGTCATGAGACTGAATGTATTGACGTCTTTTCATTTAAATTCTGATGCTGCAGTGGCAATTATATGACAAGATTAATCCTCTGAACCCCAAGCAGTTTCGTTTCAAACAGCACAACCATGGCTAGAAGGAGAGAACCTCAACATAAATCATGAAAAAGACAAAAAAAGAGATAGTTACATTCTTTGACTAATTGTTTCGCAAAAGTTGAGAAAAATTGGAACCTACATGCTCATAATCTTTCAAACTACTCTGCACATTAACTCTAGAAAGATGTTTCACCATCTTCCATTAACTTGGTGACAACTGGCTCCTCTGTTTACCTTTTTTATGAGCCATGCTGCATTTATTTTATTGATCACTAGTGTAGTGAAGCTCCAAGGATCAAGTATGTTTTATATATATCTTGTGACTGTTTTGCAGCTGAATCACTCGTGGCTCTTTTTGTTTTTTTATAGAATCTGGTTAGAACATGCTCATTATTTTTGGCAAAATTTTGAATGAGACATGTAGAATAAAGTGATTTCAATTCAATATTACAATTCTGTGTTTAGATTTGGCTATTTTTCCCCATAGACTGTATAAAAGATGGACGTAGCTACCGTGACGTCACCCGTTGGTTTCTGCACTGAGAAAATGAAGCCAGGGTTTTGCTACTTCCTGGTTGACATCTTGGATTTTTGGAGCCAGTGATGCAAAAATCGTCGGAGGTGGGCGGAGCCATAGGAGCAGCGATTGGTCAGACAGATTGAGAGGCGGGCCCTCTCTGCCCGCCCACATTTACCGCCTTCTGCTCGCTTCATCTGTATGGTCGCTGCCGACTGTCAATCAAGCCAGCCACGCCCCTTGCCCCGCAAAATGTTGATGATTTTTTAAAAATTCAGTATTGATTTATTTTCAGATTGGCCACCTGATCTCTGGACTTGACCATGAAAACTAATAAGAAAAAACTCCTGAGCTGTAGGAATGTGGTATTTGGTGATCTGTGATCACTTCTTTTCCAGTTCAAGTCTATGGGAGCCAGGGCTTTTTGGAGCCAGCAGCTAGTGGACGTAGTGATATTGCAGGTTTTTGACACTTCCGGGTTGGCTTCATTTTTCAGGGCCGGTTGCTACGTCCATCTTTTATACAGGCTATGTTTTTTCCTCACCAAATTGTATGTTGCTGTGATCAGCTGTTGGATAGTTAACATTGTAATGATTCTTTCACTTTGTGGCCCTAATAAATGGTACATTTTGGCAATTTAAATAAGAAATCAAGCTGACTGGTGGGTTTCGGGGTTCAGAGGGTTAATAGGGTAACTGTACTCTACAGAACATTAATTGATTATATTATTGTTTTACAGAGATATGCCACTGACATCTGAATTGTATTTTTCCTCAGGACTGAAAACAATCGTGGGCGCTTTGATCCAGTCAGTGAAGAAAATGGTGGACGTCATGATTCTGACCGTCTTTGCCCTTGCGGTTTTTGCCCTCATCGGCCTTCAGCTTTTCATGGGAAACCTGCGGCAAAAATGCGTGCGGTGGCCCATCCAAACAGATGAATTTGAATTTTTTAACACCACCTCTGCGTTTAATGACACTGTGTCCTTCAACGACACCATGGGCTTCAATGATACAGCATACTCCAACAGCACCTTCAATTTTATTGAATATATTGAAAACACAGGTGTGTTTATCAGCTAACTCATCTCGCATTTTAAGCTGATACTGACCACAGAGGAGATTTAATTACTTCTTTTTCTTGTTTTAGATAATCACTATTATTTGGAAGGCAGCCCAGATGCTCTGCTTTGTGGAAACAGCTCTGATGCCGGGTATGTGCTGTCCACAAAGAGGCTACGATCTTCCTTTTGTCTTTTTAGTCTGGTCATCTTTAAAAGCTGCTGGTGTTTTGCTTCCATAAACATTTAAACTTTCAACGTTCCAATGTAAAAAATGAGCCTTGTTCTGGTTATTACCAACAGTACTGCAGCAATCTAAGATGAAGGGAGGTGTTGAGTGTGATTTCGAGGCTGGGAGAGCAGTTGTAGTGAGCTAACTCTTCTTCCCTGTTGATAGAAAGTGCCCAGAAGGATACACATGCATGAAGGCTGGGAGGAACCCTAACTTTGGCTACACCAGCTTTGACTCTTTCGGCTGGGCCTTCCTTGCCCTCTTTAGACTCATGACCCAGGACTACTGGGAGAACCTTTTCCAGCTGGTTGGCACATTTTTAATTTGTTGTATTCCATTTTATGCCCTGAAACTCTGAACTTTTTAATTCTGAAATTAAGAATTATTAGGAAAAAAAAAATGTGTCCTTAGTTCTCGTAGCTTCTTCTTTGCTCCTAACACAGATCCTGCGGGCGGCTGGCAAGACGTACATGCTGTTCTTTGTGGTGATTATCTTTCTGGGCTCCTTCTACCTCATTAACCTTATCCTGGCTGTGGTAGCCATGGCTTACGATGAGCAGAATCAGGCGACTCAGCGAGAGGCCATCGAGAAAGAGGAGGAGTTCCAGCGGCTGCTAGAGCAACTCAAGAATCAAGAACAGGTATCTATTGCAAAAGAATGTGCATCTATGGTTCAGAAGTTTTAAGCATTCACTGAGTGTTTTGTCTTTTACACAACAGGCTCATGCTCTTGGTAGTCGGGCCACTCTAACCAGTAAGAAGTCGCTCAGTCATCACACTGCATCTGAGCTGGCAGACGATGAAAGGGGCCTTGGACACGATGAAATTGTTAAGGACTGCAATGGGAGACTTGTCCCACGTCTGATGATCAGAGCGCCCACCATGGACGAGGTGAGTCAGTCATGCTTGAGTCACAGTTACTCTATTTAAGAAACAATTTCGATAATCACTACGTGCAGATGGAAAAGCTCACTTGTGCCTACTTGAGTGTTTGCCTCGTATGTTTGATGTTTTTGGATTTGTATGTATTCTGAGAATTCATCGACATTTTTTATAGTCTGCTGCAGCTTATGAAGTCAGGGAGAAGTCGCTGGGCTCTGTGCACAGCATGCTTCATCTGGACGAACCAGGCCTGACACAGAGATCTGCCAGTGTTATGACTGTGCTCACTGCAGCTGCTATGGAAGGTACAGTGCCAATGGAGTTAAAAACATAAGAATCTCTGGATAAAGGATGTGTTTTCTAGCTTTGGTGAAACAAGCAGCAGACACGACAACATAATGTCTATTCCAGTGTACTGTTTTTATACCAAGCAACGACATGTAGGCATCCGGGGGTGTGAAGTGCCTTCAGGGGATGAAGAAATACACAAGGCTTAGCATTAGATGCTCTAATGTGAGTTGTAATTGCTCAGATTATCAAGCAGTTGTTAACATTATATACTATTTAACCAGGGCCAACACAGTAGCATTGTCTTGAGCTTACCACAGTCTGGCTGATCATATTGTGTGCAGCAGAAATCCCTGTCGACATTCAGAGTCACGACCCCGTGGTGTTAAGCTGGAGCTATTTCAGCCCAACTACAACAGCAAGAAATTAATTTTAATGTCACTCACGACTGGATTTGGTTAGCTGTATCACTTAGAGATTACCCTAACCCCATGTTCACCCAGCTACCTATAGTCTAATAACTGGGAAAAATCCCTCCATCTGATTCTGTTTTTTATTAATATCACCTTTTCCTTCTCTGTCTGTGTTTGTCTAGAGTTGGAGGGGGCCCAGAGGCCATGCCCACCTGCCTGGTACAAGTTTGCCGATATGTTCCTGAAGTGGGACTGCTGCGTGCACTGGGTGGTCTTTAAGAAGTGGGTGTACTTTGTGGTGATGGACCCTTTCGTCGACCTGGCGATTACCATCTGCATCGTGCTCAACACCCTCTTCATGGCCATGGAGCATTACCCCATGACCCCGGAGTTTGACTACATGCTCTCAGTGGGGAATCTGGTGAATATAAGCTACATTAAAAACAATACGTCTCTGAGATTTTTAGCCATCAAGGACATGGAAATCTTAAGAGATTCAGTAAAAAGCAAGTGGACGTCTTGTTTAACATAGTTAGATCTTAAGACGCCTCGTGGATGAGAGGTGAAACATCTTCAAGAACCACGAAACACAAGTTAAGCTGCTTTTCACTGAAGCTCTTAGGATTACATCAAAGAGACATTAGCACATCTCAGATTTGATTGTGTTAGCTCTTGTTGAAGAGGATCTCAACCATTTTGTAGGTTTTCACTGGGATCTTCACAGCAGAAATGTTCTTCAAGCTCATTGCCATGGATCCCTACTACTACTTTCAAGTCGGCTGGAACATTTTCGACAGCATCATCGTCACTCTCAGCCTGGTGGAGTTGGGGCTGGCAAACGTCCAGGGTCTGTCAGTCCTTAGATCCTTCCGTCTGGTGAGACACATTAATTTGAATGTATTTGTATCTACTTATCACAGTGACATTTCTTATTATGCTGTTATTCACAGTCTTTGCTTGTGTCTATCCTGTGTTGGAGATAGCTTCGTGTTTTCAAACTGGCCAAGTCCTGGCCCACGCTCAACATGCTGATCAAGATCATTGGTAACTCAGTAGGAGCTTTAGGAAACCTGACTTTGGTGCTGGCCATCATCGTCTTCATTTTTGCCGTCGTGGGCATGCAGCTGTTTGGCAAGAGCTACAAGGACTGCGTGTGCAAGATCGCTTCAGACTGCGAACTGCCTCGCTGGCACATGAACGACTTCTTCCACTCGTTCCTCATCGTCTTCCGCATCCTGTGCGGCGAGTGGATCGAGACCATGTGGGACTGCATGGAGGTGGCCGGAGCCGGGATGTGCTTAGTCGTCTTCATGATGGTCATGGTCATCGGAAATCTAGTGGTAAGTGCATCAAGTATCCATCCATCAGTGATCCCGATCGTAAATCTGAAGCGTGGAGACGTGTAATTGAAACCAGGCATTTCGTTAATCGGTATTCACTGGGTAATACATTTGAAACATGTGATGGAGCATTTCCATGTCAGCCAACATCAAAAGTGTCACTGCCACTCAAGGAGGACGTATGAATTTGTAAAACCATTGACACGACAGTTTAAGCCGTGGGTCAGACATGCTGCAAAATGTACGAGGTGCGGCGATTAAATAAAGACACTGAGTTTATGTCAGTCAAACCACAGCACGCATGCCTGAACGACATAGCACACATTAATCAATGGCATTAACAACCCCTGAAAGTTTCCATCTGCTTGAACTGAAACTATCTACTGAATTCCAGTAATATTCAATATCCTCACATCATATATCCTGATCTACAGCTTTTGTGATTTGCTAACTGCATTGTTTGAAATTGTGATATCAATTTGAAATCGATTAATTGCTCAGCTCTAGCGCACATGGTTGGTCAACGCCGTGTGGACGATGTTGCTCTGCATTAAGGAGAAACTTGAGCCAGGTTCAATTTTTTTCCTGTGTTTTTTTGCCCTCTGTGTCAGCGCCCCTGCAGTGCCAACACATATGTCCCTTTGAAATGAATGAGGGGTGTGCATTTTCTTCAAGCAGCTGGTCTGAACACAGACTATATGATGTTACACAGCTCCATTTCATTTAGATAAAAATAATTGCCTCTCAGGTTTGTATACATTCAGGGTAAATAGTCATGTAGTCATATCATTTTATGATCTGTGTTTATTTGGGTATACAGTAAGTCTTGAGTAGATCGTCAGCCTGCACTCACTCGACGCATTCAAAATATAAACTCGAAGCAACTGTCGCTACTGTGAAGCTGTAAAGCTGACAAACTGTTTTGCACAATCTTTCTAGATCTAATCTTATCTTATTATAATGCCAGGAGATTTTGTGGATTGCATGTCTTAGCAGTCTATTGTTAACCCCTCAGCTAAATGCTAAGCACAGACACATACAGCTGGGGGAGACACCAGTACAAGTTCAAGTCTATTCATGTCGGAATCCAAACACATAAGACAGAATTCAGCACATACATGCAGATTTTTGTTGTTGTGGGACACTAAAATGTAAGTTAAAACGTGTTTTGAGCTGCACATTAAACACAGACGCAAACGTAATTATCACTGTGCATTTTTTTTACTGCGATACCTTTTAAACTGATTCAGATCTACAAACCTTTTCACACTGTCTGGATGAATTTGTGTGAAGAGGCATCAGGTTTTGCGATGCTTTATGAAGAATCCTGAGTGTCTGGAGCATGAAAATACCATCCGTGACCTTTTATCTTGGCCTCACGGAACAAGGCCATACAGACGATCACCCTTCGACATCATTTCAGCATCATATTTAATGACTTGAGCCAAAACCATTTCCTGTTGGGTTATTCATAGAAATGAAAAGGAAATGGCTCATTGTCAAGCACTGACAAAAATATTGTGACGGCGACACTGTGCCAAAAATGATCGTGGCTAAACTCTTTACACTGACTCCTCAGTATGCTTACCTCACACATAAATGCACGCTATTTGCACTTACATAAAGGCATATAATATGTTAACACGCATCTTGGGAGGGGGTTTCTATTTAAAATCAAATGACTTGAGCCACCAAACAGTGGTTTTGACCTTGAGTAAGTGCTAAGATCCGGCTCAAGTAAGCACACTGCCACTGAGGTAACAAACACAGACAGCTGAGCGAGCAGAGCTCAGGTGGCAGGGGGATTGGGTGTAAAGGAAAAGTCATTTGATAGCAGATTAAACCGTAATTGATGTAGAAGTAATCATATTGGACCATCAGTGTCTGACAGCATATGGAACAGAGATGTAACTTGTATGACATATGGCAGTGACTTTGTGCGTGACTTTTTCTCTTGAGCACGTCGTAATCAGATCTCCTAAATTCACAAAATCTCATCTGCATTGTTTATTGACTTCTGGAAGCCTTGGTACTGCCTTTTTACCGTACTCCACTACTTCTTCCTGAAGATTGCTTTTGCATATTATTTTCAAGGGCTGAAAGTCCTTCATATAAAACTGGAGCTTATGGATTTTGCACCTTCGCACAATTTTTCTATGGCTTAAATGAAAACACCAGAGGGGCTGGCAGAAAGATTTGCTTTAGACAGAGGATAGCTAGCCATTTTTTAGACTTTATGCTAAGCTAAGCTCCGCAGTTGAGATTGAAAAGTGGCTTGTCATTGAATGATATATGCCAAAATCTATAGCAGTGTAGTGCTGCTCTCAGAATGGTATGCCACTTGTAAATTATCAACACTTAACTTGCTTGATATAATCTTGGCTGATTAGACTGTCTAAGTTTTTTAATATACAGTGACTAATACATATGTCAGTTTAATGTAAAAGTATGTATACATTTCTATTTCTAGCTTTGTAGAAATGTAGCGGAAGAAAATGCACTTAAAAGAAACCAACATAAAACTATTCTGGTCCTTTCTCTTGTCATAAATTGCTTTTGAAAAGATGGATGGATGGATGGATGGATGGATAGATAGATAGATAGATAGATAGATAGATAGATAGATAGATAGATAGATAGATGGATAGATGGATAGATAGATAGAAAGAACTTTATTGATCCCCTTGGTAGAACCTTAGGGAAATTGTTGAAGCTTAGTTGTAATGCAGTTTTATATCATCAGTGCAGGTACTTACATTTGCCTGAGCAATAGTCTCCTTATAGAGAAAGGACACATTTGTATACGATGACTTTGGTCAACAGTGCGCTACACGATCTAGTATATTATACAGTAGAAAAGGGCTGTATACATGTATACAATGGCACTCCATAAAGCCAAATATAGGACCCATTGTTTCGCTAGAGTGGGTCCGACCTGAATTGGTTATTGGTTAATTAGCCTGGCGAGGAGACCAGGCTAACCATAGTTATGTTAGCTAATGTTAACTGAAATATAAGCACCTGCTGCATTAAAAGCATAAATAAAACTGCAAAAGCATGTTACTGCAACAGAATAGTTTTGTGTTTATTTATTTCAAGCACATTTTCTTGCACTGTAAATGAAAGTAGGAATAAAAGTAAACATTGTTGACACTACATAAAGTTAGGTTATAAAATTCACAATTTATGTATTAGGCTGATGTGACAGTCTGATGACCACCCAAGAGTAGCCAACAAATAGCAAGTGAATCGTGAAAGTGGAAGCGTGGTAAGTGTGAGTAAAGTAGGAGCAGTGGTATACCGCTGTAGAACCAGCATATACTACTCCACCAGGAGTGGTGTAGTACAATCTGCCACGCTTTAATCTCTGCGTCTCTTCTGCTGGCTGTAGCTTCACATTTAACTAACATACATGTGAGCTGTATCGGCTCTTCTCATCTAACTCTCGATAATAAGAAAGTGATTGTCGACCTGTTCCGTTGAGATAAAGAACTAACTTCTCATATCATCAGGTTTCACTGCTTTAAAGTAAAGGATTGAAGTGTTGTTTTGAGAGATTAAGAGCATTTTTTTTTGATACATCACTGATACAGAAAACACCACAAATACTGCTGCGTTTTGTTTTCCAATCAGAAACCGTCAGATCTGTTTTCCATTGTCGGGTTTGTTTTTTTGCAGCTCATCCTGTCCGTCAGCACTCTTTACTGATTCACAGCTCCTACACTGGAATGAGTGAGATCAGCCGGCCCCTGGCCTGTGTAACCATGATCTCCCGCTAAACCTGGGAAATAGGAACCGAGAAATTGACTAACAGGTTTAAGAAACTAAAGATAGCTTCATCTGCAACAGGAGGCAGACGACATAATATTTATTGAAGTGCCACCACAGGGCCAATTTGATATGTGATGTGTATTTGAGCTAGTCTAGACTTTTGTGTTTAGCTCAGCGATGTTGGCACGCTTTTATTCTGTCATCAGGGGGACAGTGGGTAAATATTTATGATGGCTTAATTTTTATTAATTTATTCATACGTTATACTGTAGCTGCCTTCTAAATAAGGACTGTGCCTCACTTGCAATGTATAGTTTTAGTTTCTCCCTTTAGTGAACAAAAGTAACTTGATGAAACTGTGTTTTTTGGTGCTTGAACTATTTACATTTTAGGGTGTATGTCTCATTACCTTCACCCCCCAGGTGTTGAACCTCTTCCTGGCCTTGCTGCTCAGCTCGTTCAGTGGAGACAACCTCTCAGCAGGAGACGACGACGGAGAGATGAACAATCTCCAGATTGCCATTGGCAGGATCACACGAGGCATCGACTGGTTAAAAGCGTTCATCGTCCGAACCGTCCTCCAGATTCTTCGCAGGAAGCCCAAAGAGCCTGACGCAGGCACCGGGGACGACAACGACGACGACGACGACGACTCTAAAATGGAAGGAATTGAAATGAACCATATGGACACCAGTCAGAGTTTCAAACTGGCAGAAAGGATATCAAACTGTGTGGTTGAAGGCCGGCCTTCTGGATTTATTGTAGACGGAGAGCTAAGCTTCAATGTGCCAATCGCCCAGGGAGAGTCGGATTTTGAAAACCTGGGCGAGGAAGATGAGGACGATGAAGATGATGCTCATGGCTCAGAGATTTTCGATGAGAAAAATAATCAAGAGAACACAGTAAGAAAAGTTAATACAAAGAAAATCTTTCTATCCATTAAAGGCAATACATCACCCACAAGCAGTTTATATACAGAGTGTCAAACATTAGTAGTTTTCTTTTGTCATTTTTAACATTTTAAAATTTAGGTATGGGTTTTCTGAACAACAGCAGACCTCTGTAGCAGGCTTTATGGCTTTGAGCACACTGAACTCTGCATAGAGATGCCTGACTGATCAGGATTCATTTGACTATTATTTTTTTCATGACACTGGCACATGAAAAACGTTGTCCAACATCACACAAACAAACGTCATCGCAAATTACATAAACAATAGCTTCAGTACACACAATGCAAAGTACAGGATGAGTCATGATCCAATACAATGATGTTGTTGTTGCTGTTTTGTGTACTGAGGACACAAGGAGCAAGCGCTGTATGGTAATATGCATCTTTTATTTACCTTACAGAGTCACATCTGAAGTGACAAGAACTGCTTGAGACATTTAAAAAAATCTATTTATCATTCAGTTTTGGCTTTGCAATGAAACCATAGGTGTGTGGGCCATTTTTGAACATTGTACAAAAGCTTCTGCACAGTGGTGGTGAACTTACATACGTGCTGAGGCTTATTGGCGCTGATTGGATGGACTGTGCTTGGCTGACATTTCCCTCACACCGTGCAACCTTTGTTGCATCCATTAGGACAAGACAACTTAGAATATTCTTTGAATGCTTATTGGTACACAGAGTTTGACAATTTCACATTATTCCTAGCAGAGCTTTGCAGCACTTTAACCTAAATAAAGTTCTGTTCAACAAAATTAGAGTTCATGGAAATCACCAGAGTCAGCGTATCAATAAAAATGGTTGTCGCCAGATGTAGACTGCAGGTATAATTGTGATGTTTTCAAAATCCCCTTTGCTATGACAGGACTATATGCGTCTTACATCAAGCTTATCTATGCATCAAGTGTGATTTTAGTACAGATGCAGCAATGAACAACTTGTGAATGTACCTCAGAAAAGTCCTGATTTCATCTCAGTATCTGATGGCCATTGTTTAGATGTTTTCTGACGTGGCTATCGTCAGTTGGTGTTGATTTATTATTATGGCAGCAGTGTAATTGTCTTGGCCAATGTATCATTTGTTTCCATTTCACACAAGCTTCTATAATATTATTTTAATACATGTCTATAAGAGCCACATACAGCTACAAAATCCTCTGTGAGCTTTCATAAGTCCAGTGAGCCCCCAGGCAGACGTCACTGACAGGGCCCTGATCATCAAATTATGGTATTATGTATCACACACTCTTTATTTGTCTTTTATGGTGTTTGTGGTGTCCTTGTAGGGAATAAGCACATTTTAATGACAGTGCTCGTCTCCCCATGCACAGATGTTTCACCAAAAAAGTTCTCCGGCACTATTTCTCACTGTATATCCTAAGCGTAGAACTTTTCAAGACAACTGTGACTGGTTTGAAGAAATATAAATGAGGCAGTGCAGAATAGTAAAGGTTGTAGTCAGACCATTTTCTGGAGATAGGCCGAGCTTTGCAAGACTATTAAAAAAACAGTACAGATGTAAGTTTTCCTGTCTTAACACATGAAAGAGGCTAATTGTACTTCTAGTATGAAAGGGAAGGTCTAATTGGACATGTCAGGGAAAGCTCTTCAACTGTCTTGTTACCTGCTAACCTTCCCCTCGATATAAACTAGAATCTAATTAAATGCTGAGATAATTTTTGGAGGAGAAGTGTTTCTTTTTTTCCTTGTGCTGTTATAAATGTTCCTTCAAGTTCATTTTCTATTCCTGTGCTATTTCAGGAAAACTTGGAAGATTATAGTCGTATCCCTGGAAATGGCAAAGTAGCTAACGCTGTAGACCTCCATAAACAAACAGAACTCCTGATTATATCGATCTGAAGGATGACTCAGGGAGATAATTAGTTTAAATGGGATTCCATTCAACTTAAAAAGTGAAAATATAACCGTTTGTGTAATGGTTTTGTAACTAAGCTTCGATTGTGACTCTTGCCCAGGTGATTGGTGCTTTGGATGATGGCGATTCTTCAGTGTGCAGCACAGTGGACTATCAACCACCGGAGCCTGAACCAGAAGTCGTAGAAGAAGAAGAGCCAGATCCAGTGGAACCAGAGGCCTTCTTCACTGACGGTATGAACAACCACTGCACAAAAAAAAAAGATCTAATCACTATGAAGTGCAGACTTTCACACGACAGCTATGAACAACTGCTTAGTTTTGTGCTAATCCTCCAGAATTGTAATCCGACTTCTTGAAATATTTTCAGATTGTGTGAGGCGCTGGCCGTGTCTCACTGTGGACGTCAGTGAAGGCAGAGGGAAACAATGGTGGAACCTCCGTAAAACTTGCTACAACATTGTGGAGCACGACTGGTTTGAAACTTTCATAATCTTCATGATCCTCCTCAGCAGTGGAGCTCTGGTGAGTGCTGTCATCACTGCAACACATTTAGAAATGTTGACTGTTTTATGATAGCGCTAAGAGACTGTAATAACATTAGGACGTGTATCTAATGTCTTCTTTTGGCAGGCCTTTGAAGATATATACATAGAAAGACGCCGCACCATCAAAATTATTCTGGAGTTTGCTGACAAGGTTTTCACCTACATCTTTGTCATTGAGATGCTCCTTAAATGGGTCGCGTATGGCTTCAAGACCTACTTCACCAACGCTTGGTGTTGGTTAGACTTTTTCATTGTCGATGTAAGTTTTGATTTTGTTTTAGTGCTTCCCTGTGTGTGTGACAGAAGATACAGACGACCATGTCCTCTGGCCGATGCAGTTTGTGGTAACACTTGAATAGGAAATGTTTTGATTCTGCCACAGGTTTCCCTGATTAGTTTAGTTGCCAATTGGATGGGCTACTCTGACCTTGGACCAATCAAATCCCTCAGAACCCTGAGAGCGCTCAGGCCTCTTCGAGCACTGTCAAGATTTGAAGGGATGAGGGTAAGTCATTGGCTCCTGATGCTCATTTCATTCAGAAATCGTACACATGAGTACTGTACAATAACGTTTGAGTAGTCTGCATGGCTAACAATGACTTAGAAGATGTAGAAATTGTTTTGTTTATGCATTCTTGGACTAATTGGATTGGATTTCCTCTGTCGTGTTTGTTAAATGCATGCTTACACCGTGGCTGCTGTAACAGAGCTGACTAAGGTAAGTGTTCCATTTGTAAATGACTAACTTAGCATAGCATTGACCCCTAGAAACTTTTTTGCTTCACAAAGAAAATAAATTAGGGAATAATTCTGTATATTTCTTTATAATTCTAACAAAGTCCTCTCTTATGGGCAGGTGGTGGTGAACGCTCTTGTTGGAGCGATTCCCTCCATCTTCAATGTGCTGCTGGTGTGTCTGATTTTCTGGCTCATCTTCAGCATCATGGGAGTTAACTTGTTCGCCGGGAAGTTCTACCGCTGCATCAACACCACCACAGAGGAGCTGTTCCTCCTCACCGAGGTCAACAACCACAGCGACTGCATGGCTGTCAAAGAGGCCACGCAGGAGGCCCGCTGGGTCAACGTCAAAGTCAACTATGACAATGTTGGATCAGGCTACCTGTCGTTGCTTCAAGTGGTGAGAAGAGCTGTTTCAGTTTTTATACAAATGGAACATCTTCAGCTAAAAAATATCAGCTGTTGAGAGAAACTTCTCTGTGATTGCAGGCAACTTTTAAAGGATGGATGGACATCATGTATGCTGCTGTTGACTCAAGAGAGGTAATTATGTACAGTCTTGCATTACATATAGTGATCCGTGTTGGGGATTTTGGACTGACTGTCTAACCTTATTCTGTTATTGATTATATACGTTATTCTTGCACTGCTACTTCCGAGGTCCTTTGAAGTGTTGTACAATGTGTAAAAAAATAGTAAAAAATACAGATACACTCAAATATTGAGTAAGATTTCTATTTGAGAATGCAGCAATTACACATAAACATGCACAAAAATAACGTTTTGACTTAATAAAATTTTATTTTGTAGTTATTAAGACATCCATCTCCTTTCCCTTCCTACACCACTCTGCACTTTTAAGCTATTTGAATACATGTGTGTGACAGTAGTGGTAAAGTTGAGTACACATTCTCTGGATAAACAAGCGCTCTGGCACAGAGTCCAGTGCAACCTTTTATAGTGTCTTCTTCTTTCACACTGTCTCACAATAGTCTCCTACTTAAAATCCATCCATTATCTATACACCGCTTAATCCTCATTAGGGTCGTGGGGGGCTGGAGTCTATCCCAGCTGACTTAGGGTGAAGGCAGGGACCACCCTGGACAGGTCACCAGTCTATCACAGGGCTACACTTAGAGACAGACAATCAAGCACACTCACATTCACACCTACAGACAATTTAGAATCACCAATTAACCTCAACATGTTTTTGGACTTGTGGGAGGAAGCTGGAGAACCCGGAGAGAACCCACGCTGCACGGGGAGAACATGCAAACTCCACGCAGAAAGATCCCTAACCGAGACCTACTTAAAACAGCAAACTTTAAAGATTTTCACCTAAATACACGTCTGTTAGGTCACTGTCTATCACCACATCTAGTAACACATTGGTGATTTCTGCCAGAGGTAGTAGGTGGAGCGAATTCTTTCTTCACTTTGTGGTTACCTAATTTATAATGGAGGCTTGGTTCAGATGTCAACTGCCAACTGACTGAGTGAGGCGCAAAAACACACCTATAATTACCACTTATCGCCACAGGTGCCACTAAAGAGAAGGAAATGGAAATCTTCAAGACTGCTACTTTTCTACAAATAAATGTGTGATGGGTATTTATTTATATGTCTTTTTTTCTTTCTTTAGGTTGAGGAGCAACCGTCTTATGAGATTAACCTCTACATGTACATGTACTTTGTCATCTTCATTATCTTTGGCTCTTTCTTCACACTCAATCTCTTCATTGGTGTCATTATTGACAATTTCAACCAACAAAAGAAAAAGATGAGTATTATATTTTTGTAGGAGCAATTCTGCACCAGCACAAAACCAATTGATTCTTTCTTTAAATTACATCTACACAAAGTTGCCTTGTCATTTAAATGCTTATAATAATCATTTCATTGTGTTTTGTCTGCACTTTGGAGACAAAGACATCTTTATGACTGAGGAACAAAAAAAATACTATGATGCCATGAAGAAACTGGGATCCAAGAAGCCACAGAAGCCAATTCCACGTCCAGCGGTAATGCCGTGCATGTACATGATTATTTCAGTCACTGAGAATAAAATTACATTGTTATTGAAGACTTAAAAATCATTATTTGCTTTGATGTTGGAAAGTATGAACGAGGTCAGCCAAAGTAACGACACATCAGCTCGGTATGCGTGGCATGACGATATCATGGGTGACCTCTGTGTTGACCTTTTCTGCACAGTGCTGGTGTGAACAGGCCAAATGACCCTCCTGGAATTGTATTTCTGTTTTTCTTGGTTAACCCCTCCCCTCTGTCTCCCTGTGACCTGCAGAACCTAATCCAGGGAGTGGTGTTTGACTTCATCAGTCAGCAGTTCTTTGACATCTTCATCATGGTGCTCATCTGCCTCAATATGGTGACCATGATGGTGGAAACAGATAACCAGAGTGCAGAGAAGGAGGATTTCCTCTTTAAAGTAAACGTGGCTTTCATTGTTGTCTTCACTGGAGAGTGTGTGTTGAAGCTCTTTGCCCTGCGACAGTACTTCTTCACCAATGGATGGAACGTGTTTGACTTTATCGTGGTCATCTTGTCAATAGCTGGTGGGTATCTGACAGCCTTTATACCAAGCACAGTTGTACATTATATTGCTTAGACAATGAAAATTGACATTGTGTTCAAGCAGAGATAGGTGCACTGATGATTGTTGCTCTCCTTTTATTTCAGGTACAATGCTGTCAGACCTGATTGAGAAGTACTTTGTGTCACCAACTCTTTTCAGAGTGATCAGACTGGCCAGAATAGGCAGGATTCTTCGTCTTATAAAAGGAGCTAAGGGCATTCGGACGCTTCTCTTCGCTCTGATGATGTCCCTTCCTGCTCTATTCAATATTGGTCTCCTGCTCTTCCTTATTATGTTCATCTTCTCCATTTTTGGCATGTCAAACTTTGCCTATGTCAAAAAGGAGTCTGGAATCGATGACATATTTAACTTTGAGACGTTCGGTGGTAGCATTATTTGTCTGTTTCAGATTACAACGTCAGCAGGCTGGGATGGGCTTTTGCTTCCGATGCTGAACAGAGAGCCTCCAGACTGTGATCCGGACTTCGAGAATCCGGGCACAGATGTAAAAGGAAACTGTGGTAATCCAGGCATGAGCATGATGTTCTTCTGCAGCTACATCATCATCTCATTCTTAGTGGTGGTGAACATGTACATAGCCATCATCTTGGAGAACTTCAACGTGGCTCAGGAGGAGAGTGGTGATGCACTCTGTGAGGACGACTTTGACATGTTCAATGAGACCTGGGAAAAGTTTGACGTAGATGGAACTCAGTTCATTGAGTACAGTCGGCTCTCAGATTTTTGCGATGCCCTGCAGGAGCCGCTCAGGGTTGCCAAACCCAACCGGCTTCGCCTGATTGAAATGGATCTGCCCCTGGTTATTGGGGACAGGATCCACTGCCTGGATGTTCTGTTGGCTGTCACACAGATGGTCTTGGGAGACACAGTGGAGATGGCAGCAATGCGGGAGAGCATTGAAGCTAAGTTCATCCTGAGCAACCCCACCTCAGCCTCGTTTGCACCGATTACGACGACGGTGCGTCACAAAGAAGAGCAGTCGGCTGCCGTAGTCATTCAGAGGGCTTACCGCAACCACCTCCTGAAGCGATGCGTACGCCACGCCGCCTTTATGCACCGCTCTAAGAGGATGGGTAGAAAAGATGAAGGTGAAGATCCACCAGAAAAAGAAGGACTGCTTGCACGAAAGATGGGAGTGCTCTATGGGAGTAACGTAGACCTTGCAGAGGAAATGGAACGAGCTGCTTTAGAAACTCTAGCGAACCAGCAGCCTCTTAATCCTGAGACACTGTCCAATGACAGTGGAGCCCAGTGTGGTCCAGACACCACTGAGCCAAACATCATCGTTGTACCCGTAGAAATTACGAATGAAGTTTTACTACATTCTGCCCCCGACCGACACCTCTTTAACCTACATGCGAACCTGAGAGAGACGATTGTATAACCAATTGCACAAGATAATTAATGATGTCGCCCCCCTCCCCTCCCCACCCGTTGTTTTTCCACCAGTGAAGGAAGCAGTGTTCATTAATGCAAAGGTGTCACTAATGTATCTGACTTTTCCACTTCAGATGAAGAGGTTACACAGTTCTAAGGGATTTATTTCATAACTAAGCATCACAACAACCTTTTCCTGTTCTGTCATGCAATATTTGTGTCTTTTTGGGTTGAAGATGGAACTGGACTGCATGATTTTCTTTGATAATTACCACATGGTCATCAGCAAAATTGAAGATTTTATTTTCAAATTAAGGAGACAATTAGATATGATGTTTAAGAACACCCAGACTTTCTAAGAATTGCAAGACTTTTTTCTTTACCTTTACTGTTAGCTCATAAAACAGCTAGAGTTTATCACTGTAGGATGAAACATCACTGTGGACCAGTGTCTGTGATATGGTAGACTTTGTGAAAAACTCCAAGAAAGAGCAAGATTTCTTAACATATTTCAATAATGTTTCTATGACTAGTCATCGTTCAAATGACAAGGATCTGAATGCTACTGGCTTTCAATGCACGCTATAGTCGATGCCTTTCTGTAGGCCGACTATAATTTTGCTTTTGATATGGTTGTTACCAGGCATATGGCTATTTCCATGCACCCAGTTTCTAACCAAAGAGTACCTTGAACATTACATGACAATTATCCGTCACAGGACTGCAGGATTTTATGCTGTTTGTGTCACACACCGTATGTACAGGCTTGCAGAGCAAACAAACTCCTCAAATTTCACGAGCTGAAAAGAATCTAGAGTACGAGTTGAAACCTTACATTAAAAAAGAAAAGGAACATCCACATATCTGGTCTATTAGCTTCCGCTGATTATTCTACAACATGAGTGGAGCACTACTATTCAGCTCCACAGAGCAACATTTAAAAAAGTAATTAGCCATGTTAAAATAGTATTGTTTTATATTCAAATTGGTATAATTGGGAGTCATTTATTTTAATCATGAAAAACTATTCAGACTGAGTTCCTATTCCTGCTAACTTAAAGTCACTTTTGTGTGGAATCTCCTTGCTGTGAAGACTCTTCTTGTAATTAGACACGAAACAATTTTCTACGGTGAATTAGTTTTGTACATATGTAAATTAGTAACTAGAAAAAAAGGGTGTCTGGATCTGACTTATTCCAGTCTACCAGTGAAACACTGATCTCTGTTATTCATTATTAGTCAACAATAATATGGGCCAGCTAATGCAATAAACATCTGTCCCTGACTGGCTCGCTCAGAGAGGCCCAGTTTATATTGCACTATTTATATCCCTTCCAGGTCAGATTAGAACAGTTGACTGTGTAAGACTGAAAGACCTTCCCATTTTCTAAGTTGATTTAATCACAGATATGTGCATGTCTTATAAATGTTTTGTCTAGTTTTCTTTTTTTTTTTTGTCCCCTCACATATCAGATGATAACAAAACTCAAAGCAGTCACTATTTTCCACTTTGATGGATTTCCATTCAAACATTCAGGTTTCAAAACTATCTGTGACTGTAAACTTAAGATGTGATGTTTACATTAACATGACTGCATAACAGAACTGATAAGCTCCCTGTAACCATCTTCTGTATGTTTGTCTACTAAACAACAATAATCAAAGAAGTCATATAGGTACTCTGGTACTTTCTGTACATTTTAAATGAAGTTTTGCCTCAGGTTGGATCAGATTTTGACAAATGTTAAATTAACCTGACATTTTGAAACAACACAAACAGCTGAGTGTTAAACATATGACTCCAAAGTGAAGATAATCAAAGCTTTTTACGTATTTACAACAAAACACTTCTTTCATATTAATTACAACCTTCATGTGCAGTGGATCTGTTCATCTCAAATCTGTCCTTGTGTCGGAAGGTTGCTTCACCTGCTGTTGTGTAAGTCTTAACTGAATTTAAAACGTCTTACTATGAATATATGGCACTGTGTAAAAGTTTTAGGCACTAAAGTGAAGAGGTTTTGGGGGAAAAAAAACTAATACATAGTTTGTAATTAATCAGCTTCCTTCATACAAAGTGCAGAAAACAGAAAGAGCTTAAATTTAAACAGCATACGATGTCACCACCCTTTCCTTTTCTTTTCCTATAGGTAGGTCAAGTATTCAAGGTACCTGGCGCAGGTACATGTTTCCAAGCATCTTTGAAAACTTGCCACAGTTCTTCTGTGGGTTTAGGTTGTCTATCAGACAATCAGACACCCCCGTGATGGATAGAATCCGAACATTTAAAGTGCCTAAACACTGTGCACAGTACTGTATATACATGAATAACCTAAGCACTTTGACAGTTTTCTAGTTTGTTTGTTTTTTACAATAGAAAATAGGGCGTCTCTTCTTTTGTTTAAGCACTGTTTTAACATCATCCTTGGAGGGGTCTCTTCTGCCACAGCTTCTCAGTTACTCCTGTCAGAAGTCTGCAGTGTGACCTGCAGCACTCCTGCTTGAGACTGAGACAGGCTGCACCGCTTCACTACAGTCTCCTTTGATGGTACAGTCATATACACAAGACAGTGTCCTCCTTTTGTTTACATTTCTACTGGAGGAAAAGCCACATGGGGAGTTTTACTGGTACACCCACAATCACTATTGCCTGTATATACATTTTTTCTTTTCTTTTTCTTTTTTTTCTTGTGTATTGTACATTTATAAAAATTTTGTTATTGTAAAAATTGTAACTATATTGTTAGAATAAAACACCTCTTGTAGTGAAAAGCAGGCTGAGCATTTACGTTGTCGGTACGCTGGTACACTGTGGCCCTCTGGTGGCTGAAAGGTTGACAGGCCACGTTGTTGTCTATCAAACTCCCAATTCTGGTACACGTTTTGCTTTTAAACTGGTGAAGTCAGAAAAACATCCCATCATTTTGTTAGTAGGGGATCAGTTGCTGCCATAGATTAACCTGGATGGAACCTCTCACGCATTACTGAAAGTGTCCATGTCCTTTTTTTAGTGTGCATAAATGTCAACTGACTAAAAAAAAAAAAGCTCTGTCTCTTCCAAGAAATAAGGAGGTGGGGCACCTAATTCATTTGCATATTTTTGCTGTTGCATGTCATGAGCCGGGTTAATCGAAGAGGTGTGGGCTCGCCTAGAGAGCAGCTCTGACAATGTGCGATGGCGCTTTTCAAATATTTTCAATAAAACACAGACTCAATACGTAACTCATCAGAAAACAGTGACAAACGTTTGTCACGATGTCGCTGAGTTCACAGGAAGTTGCTCCATGTTAATATAGACGAATAGCCAATTGTCACAATTAAGAAGCTGAAAACATCAAATGTTCTTCATGAATGATGAACTCATTATCAGAATAGTTATATCGCTTATCTATCAATCAGCTTCTACAAATAATAGCTCTCAACGCTGACAGCCCTGTTTGCTTTAAATCATTTCCAAGCAGCCACCATTGGTGATAAAAAAGTAAAAATGACTGAGATCACTGGTTGAGGTCACCACCGATTAAAATGCTTTTCTTGAGGGAGGTGCATTATTTCCAGTCAGCATTACGTGGGTTTTTTGGAGGCAGAAGTTATCTCGTGCTCACATACTGTGAAGACTGATAATAGCAATGCATTCAAAAGACAAAGGCTGAGCTGCTGCTGCTGCTGCCTGAAACGGCTCAACTTTGACAATTAGGGAAATGTGATGAGCTTGACTGACCAGAAAACTGCACTCTTGACTGCATGTGGATGTTGCATAAGAAAGTCCTCAGCCACGCTCGGAGCTCTGCGGAGCTGTACTGAGATGCACAGTGACACATTAATGCTGATGTTTTGTAGGTATCGTGGTTACTATCTTAGTTTAGCTAATGTGTACAAAACACTGAGTACAGCTGTGTTTTTTTTTATTTAGTCTGCTACATATGAAACCCTGGATGTCCGATTCTGCGTTTTTGAAACAGTCATTAATAAACTGCAGTTTCAAGGTGGAAATGCTCAGCCACGGCCTTGAATGCTTATTTGGTCATAACAGCACATCTAGCTTAAAAATAGAATAAAATCAAATCATATAGACATGTTACGGAGGTTAAAAAAACTCTCGACAAAGTGACCTATGAAACAACAGACTGACACAATAGCCATGCTTCAAGCACGGCTAGAAACACTGAGGAACTAAAAAAAATCCACTCTATATATTATATTTACTTTTATTTCTGTTATCTATCCAGCTAAAGGAGCAATATGTCTTCGCCCAGTTGAACAAATGTTCAAACCTGAGACAAAGGACAAAATAATCAGGGATTGAGGTCGTTCTCTCTGAAGGACTTCTGAGAAACCCACAGGGCCAGGCAGACAAGGAGGCTGTGGTCTCTAAAGTAATGCAGCAATCTTTGTATGGATTTCACTGGATCAAAGCAATGTCTCTTTTGCATGAAAGAAGAATGGAGGTAGCGCAAATTAAAATATTGCAATAACTATAGATCTATTAAATACTAGTGCTTATAAAAGCCATCTCTTTTCACTCCGAGTCGCAAGATCTACTCAGTCACTTCAGGTTCCATGCACTCACACACAGACAAACTAAGCCACAAAACAAAACATCTACCTAAATATTGTGTGCTTAGTTGGACTGGCGTTTCTCCTACATAGTCAGTGACAAAGAAACATACTGGATGTAGCATCACCACCAAACAACTAATCAAAATCTTAAGTCATCAGTAAAATGTTAGAAATCATTCAGGAATTAGGATTCAGGAATCAAGATTATTTATACACGGAGCAATAAAACAAGCAACAACTGTGTTCTGCCACCAAAAATGAACTATAAANAATTCCACCAACAGCACGGAGGCTGCTGAAGCCCAGAACACTGTGGCCTTCCCTGACAAGCTGTACAGCCAGAAGGCCAACGCATCGGTGAGTTCAGAAACAGAAAAAGTCACAAATATCAGCGTGTGTGTTACTATTCCTGTTAGATGTGTGATTATTTGAGCAGTTTGGGATGTGAAAGTGTCATAAATGTGCTCGTGCAGTAATGTGTGGCGGCTCTTCTTCTTCTTCTTGTTCCAGGCTGAGGACAAACTTGCGTTCGTGGTTCAGACGATGGAGGAGGTGGCTGCTCTGTTTGAGGAGGATCACAGCTCGGCATCATGGGAGGAGAGCACAGCGGAGAACTTCCTCAACGTGGTCAACAAACAGGCCGAAGAACTGAGCTCCTGTGTGAGTTTCACAAACGCCGTGGAGTCCTGACAGACGTCAACAGGTTCCAGGTGAAATCAGGCGTTTTTAAATTCCTCTCGTCTTCTTGCGATTCCTTCAGATCGGGAGCCGCAAGAAGAAGAACACGAAGCTGCACTTGTACTTCAAGAGACTCTCAGATCAGGTCCTGAAGAAGATGGTGAGTCCACATGAATGCTCCAAACGCTGCTGCTGGATGTGATGTTCTGTGTTGTAGTAACGATGACGTCATTGTGTGTGTGCAGGGCCACAGTGCTGAAGCCTGGGAGCTGATCAGAGCCGAGATCGAGCTTCATCTGATGAGAGTTCATCAGCTGGCTTCATCTCTGACCAGCACCAACTAAAACCTGTCACATGAAGGATCTCTTCACTTATTTACTTCTCCATTTATTTATCTATTCATTTATTTATTACTTATTTATAAACCACTATCTACATTTTAAATTTATTAAGTAAAAGAGTTTTTTGTTTTTACATGATTTGATGTTACATCCAATAAAAAAGACTTTCTCCAGCAAATAGAAATGTGTTTATTGTTTTTATTCCTGTTACATGAAAAAAATTCATACAGATTTCTAACATGAATAAACAACAGGAACAAGTAGAGGCTTGTGTTTGAATCAGTTGGACACCAGATGAGTCTTTTTCTCATATGCACTGTAGACATGAGCAGACAAAGTAGATGTCAAACTGTCAAGTTAGCAAAGTGGTTTGAAATTATACACAATTATTACATAAAAATCCCCTAAAGCACCAAAAACATCAGCTGTAACATCAGCTGTCCTGTCTCAACAGTAGAACGCTATATTTACACTTCAGATGACGACAGAATAGCACAAAATAAACAGCATGTTCAGCATATGAAGCATTTAAAATAAGTATTCTGCTGCACATCAGGGCAACAANCTTTGAACATTGAACAAAAGGTTCTGCACAGTGGTGGTGAACCTACATAGGTGGCGAGACTTATTGGTGCTGATTGGACGGAGTGTGCTTGGCTGACATTTCCCTCAAACTCCATTCTGGCAAGACAGCTTAGAACATTCCTTTAAATCTTATAGGTTTTATTTCTGCAAAGTTCTTTGGAGGCTGCTTGTTTATTCTTTTGAAAATTTTAGCTAAAGTATCTGAAAGTATTACCGTAGCATTAATATTGAAACTCAGACATAGAATTGATACTAGTGATATGAAACAATACTCACTAAAATGATCTCACAGACCCCGAATGTTAAGATTCTTAACGTTGTTTCGTTTGTCCCTAAAAGTGGAACGTGAATGAAATTAGAAGGATTTTTTGGGGGTTGAAAGTGTGGGCTGGTCAGAGTTATTTTGGTTGGATTATGCAGCACTCTTCCGCTCATTTGCCTGCTGCTAACGCATGTGTAGTAACACACAGCCTGCACACCCACTGGTGCACACACTTCTTCAACTTGTTCACAACATCTTTGAGGAGAGACTTGGACACACTTGCAGTTCCAGCATTAGAAACGTTATTCTTTTGCATGTCACCATGCGCTGGATGCTGGCTGGATTCTGTGGGCTCGCTTTGATCAGTCTGTCAGGTAAATATAAACTTTTTCAGTTTAGTTTGTGACGGAAAAACTTAAAAAAACAGACAACAAATGCAGCGTTGGTAGGAAACAATCACACTGAAAACGTGCTTTCACAGCAGTATGAATCCGGTACATTATGATTCGATCACAGGGCTTCATAAGGCTTTACACAGTCATTTAAGTGTATTTTTTGGGTGTTTAACCACAGCGACACTGCATACAAGTGTTTTGCATGTTATTTTTGATTCCACAGCACCATAACTTCCTGCCCATCTGGGAAAAAGAGGAAGTTATTGTCTGAGACAAAGACTTCAATATTATTGTCATGCTGATGAACTAATTTCTCAAAACGATGCTAAATTTAAAATAAACTATATATGCCCCAACAAGTTATTCAGTTATGTAGCTTATTTTAGTTTATGTCAAACTTGTAGTCTATGTCAGAAAAAGAACATAGAGAAAAGATAACACTATACGTATACATGCAGCAAATATTAAAATTAAATGTACATAAAATCATCTACCACAGACAAGTCCAACACAACCACCAGTAGCTTCAGACTGAATTAAACAATGCAGTCAGTGACAGAATTATATTATCCTCCACTGTGTCCAGTCTAGGGCTCCAACTACTGATTATTTACATGATCACTTGCTGTGTCTTTTATTCTTGTTGCATTAGTGGATTACTCATTTACTCTATAAAATGCAAGGAAACAGAGGAAGGCTGTCCTTGGGGCTAATTTCATATCTTTAACTGACCATCACTCCTAAACCCAAACGCATACAATTTGTTATTTGTATAAAACAAAGAACTGACAGAAAATCTTCACATTCAAGAAGTAAGTGATGAGATTTCACTTAATCTAAACAATTAGGCATCTACACAAATGCTGATTGAACTGTTTCAGTGTTACATTATTCAGTGCACATAAAGCTATTTTAGATTTTATCTGTTGGACATCCCGGTAGCTCATGATCCAGATTCAAGTCCAGCCCAGGTCCATGCCCTCTTTTCCTTTCTTGCTGTATTTCTTCAACTACTTCCGTATTAAAGGCAAAAAAATAAGACCTCCATTTTTATTTTATTTGCACTCTTGGTTGGACAGAACAAAACTAAATAGTGGTAAATGGAAATAAGTGGCTGTTTGCGACTACAACACACATTCTCATAACGGCTCTAATACAAAAGTATCCGCTAAGCACGTATTAAATTTGTATTTTGTTGCCTCAGCGATATGATTTACAACAGTGTCACTATTCTGTATAGCTCTATCATCAGCTGTAGGATTATAACCTGCATGTTTGACCTCATTAATTACCTTCAGACCACCTCTGCTTAAGTAGAAAATTGCTACATAAATTACTAAAATCATTTTTTGATCTTTTCCACACAATTACATTTCTCTGCATGTCAAACCCAGCATCATATTGAAGCCTTACAATGCCTCTGATACAGTGTGCTTGTCAACTACAATCCATCCCTGCAGGAATTAAATAAATATACACATTTCATGCAGAAGTTACTTTGTCTAAAGAGATTAATGTTCTGCTTTCTTCCATGTCTTCCAACCTCCTCTTGTCTACTCAGTGGCCCTGAAGATCCGCCAGAAACCCCGCTTCTATGGCGTGAAAACCAACCGTGATGTGTATATTTACTGTTCGGTGGCAAAGCAAAACCAGAAACACGAAGTGGACTGGTACAAAGCCGATGAGTACGACGTGCCTCATGCAAAAAGGATAAAGGTAGAGAAGCAAGAAAGGATTGCGTTCGAGGACAAGGGTATGATCCGAAACGCCTATCTCATCCTCGCCAAACTACAAACAGACGACAGTGGAGTGTACTTCTGCAGGGTGAAAGATACCTGGGGACCTGGGACTGAACTACGAGCTGTCAGTAAGTGACAGACACACGTTACTGTTAGTGGTCATTTACTCAAATTTTTGGACGTCTATGCCAGGTGACTTTTCAAAGCACGACACTAACAAACATTTCGCCCCTCACAGGACCCATCAAACGTTCCCAGGCTCTATACAGGAGCCAGATGAAGGACAGTCTCATGGTGGTCCAGGGCCTGCTGTTGGCTGCGTGCATCGCTGCTCTGCTGCTGCGCAGACGAACGCTGGTGAGCAACACTGTGAACAAACCACCTGAGCTTTACCAGACTAGGCTGATGGGTTTAGTGCACAGCTTGTACAGGACAGCTACAGCTGACCCGAGGATTCATTGTGTCAAGACCTAAAAAAAATAAATAAATGTGTTTTATCTGTCATTTTTTTCACAAAACTTTAGCTTTTTAAAAGGGAACAGGAAAAACGTATGGCAAAAAATATCTACAACATTGCACAAACTCTAGGCCTTCCTACATTTGGCTGACAGTTAGCACACAGGAGTTTGTGTGTCTTATTTATCAATTAATCCTCAATATGTTCCCTGAGCTGAAAGTCACCACAATGCTTTTCCTTCATCAAACCCATGTAGTAAAACTAACAGGTCCACATCAAAAGAGATCAACAGTACAATCTTAAAAATCCTCTGATTTGAGAAAAGACAGACACTGAATGTTTTGCATTTTTGCTTGATGAAACTTAAAGTATACATTAAACATCCTATTTGTTGTCAGTAAATTTTCTGTAGCAGGGTTTTTACAGCATAGAGGATTTTTTTGTGACCCCAAAAAAAAAGTTAGACTCTGGCAAAAAAAAAAAAGAAGACCACAAAAAGCAAAAAAAGAGAAAAAAAAAAAAAAATATATATTTATTCGAATAATAATTAACCAGAATTGTTAATTGAGGTTTCATTTATTTAAATTTTTACTTGCGAAATGGTCAGAAATAAGAGAAAAATGCATAGATTTCTATCAAATAAGGCAATGGTTTATTTGACTGGGTGGAACAGAGTTTACCAAGTGTGAACCACATGTAAAGTCCAACTATTTTGAAGATTGATTAGTCCGTTTGCGTAATTCTTTTTTCTTTCTGTTTCTATCCTCCTCTATGACAGTAAACTGAGTTAATGACAGAACAGACGACAACTGTGATCTTGAGACATTTTTCAACTTTTTCATAGATTTCATGGACCAAAATTGATTCGTTGGTAAAATAATCGGCAATGAAAACAAGTGCTATCGGCAGCCCTGATGCCAGCAAACCCTTTCACTTCGTATAAATGCTACATTCAGACATCTGATGACATCAACATCACAGTTGGCGACAATGCATTGATGCTGATATGGAATGAATGCCAATGAGCATTAGCGGTATTTAACTTTTTCAAACTGAAATCTAGTGCTTGCCTAAATTAGTTCCATATGTTAAAGTCTCTTTTTACACTGAGAGCATCAGGCGCCACAAAGCTAGCTTTTTAGCCTTTACGACTTCCATAGCAACAGCTAAAACGTTAGCCGGAACCGACACTTGAAGCTATTTTACACTTTTGACTGCTTATTTGAAAGGGCCTCTTAACTTAATCATATTGTTTGTACCTTTGGTCACTTGCTGCGAGGGTATGTCACTGTGACAGGTGTTGTTAGCACTAAAAACTACAAAAATGGCGGACATTTTTGGGTGCAACAAGTTGAAGTTGGTAGCTAGTTTAGGTTGTGTGTCACCTCCAACAAGCCGGGTCGTTTTTAAAAATTCTTTTCATTTTTATTATTTTATTTTATTTTATTCTTTTTTTTTTACGTCTATACATCATGGACGGTGTGTTTATGAATATGTTGCTCATTTTTTATTATTAATCTATTTCTCTTTTTTTTTTTTATTTCTTCATCCTTTGTGTCACAGCTGGAGCAGAAGGACAGCATATATGAGGAGCCTGAAACTGACCACATCTATGAGGTTTGTTGGCTTTTCTGTGTTTTACAGCAACATTTACCGAGAACTTATTTTACTACATGGTGCCATTTGTTACGAAGACGTGTCACGGTGAACACACACCACAGTTTTTTACATAAAAATATAAGTGCAAGTACTGACAGAAAGCTGGCAAGAGGCCCCATGTTCTCGCTCCACTGAGCTTCAAACCACAAGTTCATCTTGTTCGGTCAGAGCTGCAGTCCACTGTTTTGAGAAATCTAAAATGACTAAATAAATAAATAGCTATATCTAATCCATTCCTCACCTACTAAAGATGATAAGCAGCACGTTTCTTTTTTCTTCTTAGAGCAGCTAAAGAAATCTATTATTAATACAATAAAAATAATTTCTAACTGATTTAAAAGTACTTTTCTTTTTCTTTTTTTTTTATCAGGGAGGTTATACTTAGTTCAACATTCATACCAAGTTCAAATCATTCAAACATTACACAGATCTATATGTACATATACATCATGTATAATATCACAGTCAGTAGTCTATGATATTAACTTTTCAGCTACTGCTCTCCCTTTCATTTTCAATTACATTTTAAGCAAATGTATACATTCCTGATCTAACAAACACATTAAAGTACTTTTCATGCCTCATTCATCAGGATGACGCCTCAGTGTTGTGATCTATTCGCACAAAAAATAATAATTATCATAAATACAGTCATGAGATATAGACTTTATAGCCTCATTTCTACATGTGCATTTTTTCTGTCTGTCTTGTGTTTAATATATAATTTGCATTTGAAACGCGCTGCAGTCAAGATAAGCAGAGTTGAGTGTTTCGTACTATTTCAGTTAATGCCAAACATTCTGCTGTGACATTTAGCAGCTGCACATGTTTATCTTTGAGTCAGGTCTCGGGCATATATGCAAATAAAAACTGCAGCTACTGACGTGGCCAAACATAGGCAGTATCTATGCATTTGTACATTACAGCAATGTTCTGTATTCATAAATTAAGAGTAGGATTCCTGAAAGCTAAATTGGACTCACATAAATACATGTAAAGTGAATAAAAGTGTCTTGTTTTTTTGTCTCTCAGGGCTTGGCGATTGAAACGTGTGGCGGAGGTCTGTATGAGGAACTGGCTGTGTACAGTCAGGCTGACGGAGCTGAGGCCCCATGGGAGTGAGACCGACACAACTGGGCTGTGTGCCACCCTCTACGTTCTGAATCATAGGTTGTAAAGTAAAAATAATAGAGTTTAATTAGTCCACGCAAGGGTGGAGATTTGTCATTTTCTTCTCAGTTTGTTTGAACCTCAAGAAGTTTCTGTGTGTTTTTTTTTGCTCTTGCTTCACTGTAGGCTCATGTTTCACTGCAATATAAAGTCTTGTACGGGTGTCGGTCACAGATTTTACCTGGAAGAAAACAAAAAACCTACAATTATATGTTTAATTGGTTTCCATTGTTGGCCCCTATCTGTTTTGTGTAAACACAACCTGAGTCACAAACGGTGTCACGGTTGTGCCAAAGAACCCAGAATCTTTATTGGTTGTTTG